ACACTAGTAAAAGCGCCTTTTCTTGAACGTAATGTAAATGTAATACATTGATCATCGAGACAATGCATTAAGTCTTTAGATGCTATTTTAAGATTAAGATCTGTTTTTATTTGTTTATGAAATTCTTCGAAATCAATTGGTTCATAACAAAGTATACGAGCATGTAATGTTGAATTTGATTCAATATAATTACGAACGATTTCTTTTAAAGGAATTGTAGGAGTTTGAAGTTTTGGTTTTTTTGGAAGTTTTTTTGTTGATATTGTATCGGAATCGGAAGTTAATATTGGTGTTGATGGTTTCTTTTTTGGTTTCAATTTTTTAGATTTATTCGATTGAGAACAACTTTCGATAGATGGTTCTAAAAGAAAAAACATCATGACATTTTTGTTTAACATGGTATGGAATTATATAATATATAGTATACTCTGGTATAACAATCAATTTAAGTAGTCAATGTTCTATTGGAAGTCATAATATATATATATTAGATAGATCAATTAGAGATTGTATTCAAAACTGTAGGATAAATTTCAGCAATGGTTTCAACATCAAAAAGAGGAAATGAGCATTTAGGTTTTTCTGTTTAAATTCGTTAGGGTAAATCCAGTGAGTTTAGATGATAGTAGTCTTTCGGAATGAAATCATAATAAATTGATAAAACATCCTTTCAGAATCGTTTCATCTATTGTGTACGACAGATTTCATACTTCTTGAATCAAGAAGAGAGCATCCATATAAAGGATATACGATCAAAAATCCCTCTTTTGAACCTTCTATCTTCTCAGTCGAGACCTGTCTGATGTTGGTCTTCTCCTACCCTAAGCCTTCAGTGTAAAACATTTTTTTTTTGCCAAAGAGATTAATTGTCGGAATACAGTGAAAAATGAATCGTCGAATTATTCCGGATCATGTCTGACGAGATCCAAGTATCGGACTCTTCGTTGTAAATACATATCAGACGAAAAAGCAAAATATACATTCTATGGTTCATATATTTCGTACATTGACTTATGAGACACCATAAAATCTCTCTATGAAATACTTTAAAAAACACTGTTCGAATTCACTTAATGTCAAAATTTCTTGAAAAAAGCGACAAATTTCCTAACTAATGTCCGAACGTCCAGATATATTTGAATCTTCCCTTTCTTCTCTCTCCAAACCTATGCAATTTTGGCTAAACGTTCCTGTTCGCATTTTCTTTCAGATGATCTTTATATATAGCTTCAGACTGAGTGGATTCAAATAATCTTAAGAAACCAAAACTAACTACTAGCTGCTGAAAAATAAACTTCCCCTAAAATAGAAGCCCCTCCCATATTAGAAGCCTTCTCCAGAAGGATCAACGTGAAGGATATATTAAAAGCCTTCTCACGTTTAAAAGCTTTTTGAAAAAAATTTTTTTTTTTGAATTTTCATCATAAAACTTTCAAAATTCAACATCTTAAGGTAAGAATTTGCTTGATTTTCTTATTTATCAACATAAAAATCTTGAAACCTCTTAGAAAGTCGTTTGAACAACACTTAAAATTCTGAAAATCTCTAAAACCCCTTTGAAATTATCCCATCTAGTGATAATAACAATGATTTTACAGGAGTATATAACGTTACTGTCTAAATTTGGTGGAAAAAAGAACAAAAATTTTTTTCATACTTTTTGTTTTCTTTTATTTCAAATCGATGTTTCGATGTATAAACCTTCATTAACGAGATATAGAATGAGATTATTACAAAAATACAAAATTTTACATAGAAAAAAATAAGATCAAAAGCCTTCTACACAGTGCACGAACTTAATTTGAATTCAGCAGCATGATTGGTGCAATAATATTCAAGTTATCTCGAAAAGATGATTTAACTCTTAATGCTTCAATCATGTTGTTTAATTTAATATGAATTAATTTCTCGTCGTCTAGTATGTACAAAGTCAAAGACAAGAAAGAGAGACGTTTATAACGAATAGAAACAAATTATAAATAACTCTACAGAATGTGGAAAGAGACACATGAATGTTTCTCTTTGTTCTTATCTCATCCTATGTAAAATTTTCTATTTTTGTAATAATCTCTCAATCTATATCTCGGTAATGAAGTTTTCTACTTCGAAACGATGATATGAAATAAAATTAAAATAAAAATTAGAAAAAAGGAACTTCTGTTTTTTCCTATTAAATTTAAACAATAATGTTATAGGCTGTTGTAAAATCATTATTATTACTTTCAAAGCTATTTTCCATAAATACACAATTTTAGGACTTAATAGAAGCCCCCTCCGAAAACTTTGGATGATTGGCAGTTTAGAAGCCTCCGGGAGCTTCTAAACTGGGAGGGGGGAGGGTTTACTGCTCTGCTATAATACGAAAGAGTAGGTATTCTCAGGAGAAGAATATGATATAACGAGTGATCGAAAAGTAAGTAGACAAAATGTTCGTTCATTTTTCAGCATTTTTAATGAATCTGCGAAATTTTGAAAACATTGAATTACAATCAGAATTTTGTGTTCTTTTCGAATATGAGTCCAAAATTTTTCTAGGACTTCTAGTTTAGGAGTGAAAATTGTTTCAAATACAGCAAATAAAAGAGCAAACATTATTCAATAAAATGACATATCAGTGATTAGTTAGCTCTCAACCATTTTTTAACAATGAGTGCTTTGGTAAGACACATCGTGTCAATAAACGTCAATTTTCTCCCATCAAACTTAATTTTTGTGCCTCCAAAAGGTCAGATCATTACTGCTAAATCAAAAGGTCTACAAAAATTTTGAACCCATATTCAGAAAGAATACAAAATTTTAATTCTAACTCAATCTCCAATCTCCTTAACAACGTTGAAAAATGAATGAATATTTTTTTCCAATTATTACTTTTCAATCATCCGTTATTATCTTGATATGACAAAATATTCATATATTAATTATAAAATTTGAAAACAGTAAATTACTTTGTGAATCACTGAGATGATCATCATTTGAAGGATGAGTAGGTGAAGTAATAATAATCGATGATGAACTAGTTGATGTTGTTGATAATGAAAGATCATAAACTGTAAGTTCAAGAAAACGACCTTCATGATCTATGTCATCGGCATCTGATTGATTATCATTTTTATCCTCGACTTTTGTTATTGGAGTTGGCTTCTTGACGGAAGGTGATGGATGTTCATCAGCCTCATCTGAAGAACTCATTTGATGAATAGCTTTTCGTTGTTTTGGTTTTTTAACATCAGAAATAATTGCTGGTGTTGGTGGTGTATGAGATAAATTTTTTTTATTTGAATTATTTTTTGAAAGATCAATATCATTCGTATCAAATTCATAATCAGTATCCGTTTCATATTGATGAGTAAAATTATAAATTTCATCAAGAATTTTAATAAGTCGTCCTTTAGCTTGTGAAGTTGATAGACCATAACGCATAGCATGATTTTTTAATTGTTCAATATCCATTGATTTATAATCTGGTTTAGGTGAAAATGGTGATGGTGGTCGATATTCAGACATTGATTTCTTTTTTTTCTTTCGTTTTGTTAATGATTTTTTTCTTTTGCAATTATTAATTTGATTAGATGTTGATAATGTTGATGGAAGTGTTAAAATATCAAGAATATTATTTTCAGTTGTTGTAGAAATTTGTTTATTTGGAGATAAAATAATATCTCGTGAGGGAGAAGGAGGTACATCAATATCAGGTATAGAATAAAGTTTTAAATGTTCTGCATCATTTAATCCATTATCGACTAATGGCCATTGATCCCAATAATTATTAACTTTAAAATAAAAAAATTGATTAGTTTTTCTTTGAAACAAACAAAAAAACAAATTATAAATTACTTGGCTCATAATCAATTTGTTTTGTAGTTGTTACTTGATCTAAACTATCATCTAATATTATAATTGATTGTTGTTTGATTGAACTTGTATCTTTATAATTATTTTCTTTTTCATTAGTATTATTTAAATCATTCGTTATATCAAGTGGTGGTGGTGAATAAGTTTCTGTTCGATCATCGTCATCATCATCATCATTATCTTGATTAACATCTATCATCATCATCATCATCTTCAACAAAAAAAAAACGAACCCTATTAAATCTTATATTTATTTGATCTTTTATTTTTCTCTAAATTATCGCAATTTCTTTTTTTTCTTTATTTTTCTTAGCAAAAAGTACAAAAGAAAAACTAGATTTTCACTGGATGAAATCATGCCATTAGTTCATCATCATCATCATTATCATTAAGTATTCGAGCTAATTGTGTCATCGGGATCTGAAAAAAATGCAGTAAAAATAAATTATTATATTTATAAGGTGCCAATAATGCAAAATTCGAGTGGATTCTTTTTGCTCGCTCACTTATATATGGTTGGATAGAGCTTGACGAGCTGGTCACGAATATATGATTATTATTTCGAGTCGACGATCGTTTGCCGGAAAAGAACCGTACAAAACTCGAATAATTGAAAATGTAGCAGTGGTAATAAAGAACTCGCACTTTTTGTTTTTTTACAGAAATTGTCAAATTACGATGATGTCATTTTTTCAACATTTATGAAAACATATTATTATGATTTAGCATCAAAAACTGAATAGAAAAATGTTATTTGATTAGGTTTAAAGTTAATAAGGTTAAAAATGTCTCGTCTAATATAGATAGTTTTAACATGCCTCATGGCACGTAGTTGTAAGTATTCTTGTAACTTATCTAATTTTTCGTAACAAGAGATAGAAGCAAGTGCCTTATCTCATTAGAATCATCAAGTTATGAGCTACAAAAGTACCTATTTAGGTTTTTAAATTTCTGCCTTTCGAATTTTTTTTTCTCATTCGACGGTAAAATTAAGCAAAAGGATAAAAAATGTGTCTTGTATTTAGTGATTTTTATTACCATGGTCTAGTTAAAAGTCGAAATAGATAGCATATTCAGAATAAGTGTCAAAAACTGTATTGAACCAAATATATTTTAGTAAGAACTGTTTCCAATGAAAAAACACCACTGGTCCCGTCAGATCTATTTTTCTGAAATTTTGCCTCTAGTCCTCCAGAGGTCGATTTTCCCAGGGAAAAAAAGATTTCCAAAAACATATCTGGTTCGATGCAGTTTTTCACACTTATTCTGCATATGCTATCTATTTTGATTTTTAACTGAATCATGGTCATAACAACTGCTAAATACGAGCACATTTTTTATTTTTTTGTCTAATACTATCACCAAACGGAGAAAAATACAATTTTGTTACAAAAAACTAGATACACTTACAAGAATATTTACATATACGTGTTATGAGACATGTTGGAGCTATCTGTATTGGACAAGATTTTTTAAACTTTATTTGAAAAACTACTTTATCGAAATTTGACAATTTCAATAGAAAAAAAACACGGGTTCATAGTTATCAAGGCTACATTTTCAATTATTCGAGTTTTGTAAGGTTCTGTTCCGGCAAACAGTGATCGAATCAAAATAAAAAACTATATATTCATGACCAGTTCGTCAAGCTTTATTCAACCATATATAAACGAGCGAGAAAAGAAATTCATTCGAATTTTGCATTATGAACTACTTACTTCATCATCATGAGGATCAGTTGTTGTTATATTCCACCAATTGACATGACCAAAATTTGTTTGGGATACAGCTTGAAGAGAACTTAAAGGAAATTTATACGCATTTTCTGAAGGTATTATTGTAATTAGACGTTCACATAGATCTGATAAACGTATTGAACATAGTTTTAGTTTATCTTCCATTGAGACATTCCATAATGGTACTGTTAATAAACTAAATGTAGATGATAGAATTCATTCATAGATAGAAGTTAAAGAAAAAAAGAGATTTACTCTATTGTTTTGGTTTTTTTCGATGCAGCTTGAAGAATATCGAAAGCATTAGGAGGTTCTAAAGCAGTTTTAATTGAAGTTGAAAGTGCAATTGCCTTTAATAAAAATAAATAATAATTTAAAATGTGTTGTTTTTCGATTAAAAAGTTTTACTAATTGTTGTTGTTCATCATCTTCGGTTTTAGGTATTTCCATTTTAATAATTCGATTTTTAATATTTGTTCCTATTTGTTTCTTTATTGTACTAATTGATTTTGATTCCTTGATATTTGTTGTAGTTTTAGCAGCAAAATTAACAACATGCTTTAATTGAACACTATTTTGATTGGAACATTTTTTAAGATGTGATAAATAAGTATGTTTTACATGAAATGACATTCCACAAATTTGACATTTAAAATTTGATAATGTTGTTATTGTTGTTGGTTTTCGAATAGTAGATGAAGGTTTTGTATAAGATACTAAGGTTTTTTGATGTTTTGGTTCAATCTTAATGAGAATAGATAATTAGATATTTAAATTTACAGTCAATTATTAGGATCTAATAGCGCGGTTAACGGGTTCCGTGAAAGCTCGCTAGAATATGAGACACAAGAATCCGATGTTTTTGCCTTCGACATACATGTGTAACTGGAACTGAAATTAAACAGATAGGGAATATGAGACAGTAGAAAATCGTTTCGTGCATTTCTTACGAGAAAAACTTTACAAATATATTTTGACGATCGAGCCAAGACTATGTGCATAATGTAGGTTCTAATGAACTCTCAACACTCTAAAAAGAGTTAATGCACCTAGCTTATTTCTATTGAGATATTTTATGTTTATGATCTTTCTCAATATCACTTTGCACAGGGATAAGTCCTAATGAGACTAGTCTATTCGGAAGATTTTTAAATTTTTTGGTGGTTCCTATCTAAAAATATGAAAATTAAACAATTATCATGCCGTGTGATGATCGTGAAAAGTAATATTTTTTCTTAAACTTGTGTTTAAGAATAGAAAGAACTTGAAAATATAAAATTTTCATAATAGACTAGTCTCATTCAAGGTTATCACTATACAAAGTTTCAAGGCGAAAATTCGAAAGTCAATTTTTCCAGTGACCCAGAGGAAGACCACGTCATTGTACTGAAAAATGAAATGATTCGTCAGAATTAAACTAAGAGCACGCAACTCTTTTTGAGTATTGAGAGTTCCTTAGGATCTACATGATACATATAGTCTCAAATCGAAAACATTCTCTCGTTCGTCTTCAAACGATGAAGCTGTTCAAAATGATTCATAGGTGTTGATTTCCTATTTCTACAAAAGAGTTTGAAATCTCGAAATATCAAATACCTATTTAACATATGATCGATTGTTGACACAGGAAGTTACTTTTGCAAAAAGATAATTGATAAATTTTGAGCTAAGATTTTGCCAGAAAATAGAACTAGATGATATCAGAATATTCTGAAAGTTTCAGCAAAAACAAATCTATCTTTTTTCGAGATAATAACAAATCCAATATCTGGACAAAGACATATTCGTTTTTGCTGATACTTTCAGCATATTTGAATAAGGTCTAGCTATATCTTCTGACTCAAGATCGGTATACCATTGACCGGAGTTGTCGCACAGATATTTTAGTCTTAAAGTTTCAAACTCATAGTAGAAATGGGAGCTCAAAAGCAATGAATCAATTCGAGCAGTTCCTTTGCAAGTAGAAATTTTTAATAAATAAAAATCAAGTCTTATCATACGAATCTAGATATTATATGGTAAAGTCTTTATGACATACATTAATAATTTGAGGTTCTTCAAGACATCGATTAACATGTTGTTGACGTTGATCAATAGTACTTAAGTTAGATAAAACTTGATTACAAATAGGACATGTTATATCATTATTTTCGATTTGTATTATAATTGATTCAAGACATTCTTTTATCGGATCATTTTTTCTTAGAATAGAATTTATTTTTGATTGATAAATAACTTTAGGACGTTTTCTTGTCGCTATAAAATCATCATCATCATCATCATCATCATTAATTTCAATAGAAACTTTCTTTTTTGGAGAAATAAGTTTTGTTATTGGATTCAAGACATTTTCTTTTGATGAACTAAATAAAATAAGTTTGATTACAAAAAACAAAAAACAAACTTCAAAAAAATTGCAAACATTGTTCGTTTTTTTGATGTAAATTTATCTACAAGATAATTATTTCGTTTATTGTTTTCATCTGTATTTCTTCGAATAAATGTTTGTTGTTGTTCAAGAAGATTTTGTTGTTTTTTATTTAAAATTGATGTTACAATATGATTAACATGTTCATTTGATATTTTTGTTGTTGAATATGTAAACATATCTTTTTTTTTTCTTTTAACTAAGACCTTCTTGTTCACGACGTTTATTACGTAATTTTTTATATCGTTCGAAATTATCAATTTGAATTTGTTCGTGAATTCGTTGTTTTTGAAGTAAATCAATTGCTTTTTCTAATTCTAATTAAACAAAAAACAAAAAAACCAATAAATGCCAAAAAGAAGTAAAATGTTTCAACAAACCTTGACTAGTTAAACCTTCAGTACTGATGATACGTTCTACTTCACCTTTTTTAATACCTTCTTTCGTTCTTTGTCTGATTCGATATGAACTTGAAAGAAAAAAACAAATTAATTCAATAAATCAATTTTTAATCATTTATACTTACTAATAAAAATAACCAAATGTAATAACAGATGCTGTTGTAATGAAACCAGCACCGAGAGACCAATAAAAGAGTGGAGCACGATTCTTTCGGATGTCGTTCAACAAGGATACCTAAATACAATTTAATGAAAATTATTCACATCAAAATAAAGTTTCTTTTAAAATGAGATCACTTCAAATATAAAGTTATAGTTAAAATCAACTTAAACAAGAGTATGGACATGACGAGCATGCGCAGCATCTCTTTGCCTGCAACTGAACTACTTTACGTCCCACTCGAACAAAGATTAAATGAAAGTTTTTCCTAGAAATATTGACGATCATACCGCTTTGTTGTCTTAGAAAATTCGAAAAAAATTCACTTTTAAAATAACTTCGGTAATGTTAGAATCATATTTAACTTGACTTATTCAACTCTGACAAGGAAAAATTGTCAAGTATGAGTGTTCATTTTCAATCGACTTTATGCTAGTTTGTAGAGCTCGATGAACTAATCAAGATGGATTAATGCGTTCTTCCCTATAGGGCTACCTTGAGGAATTAAGTCAATCTTAACTACAGAAAGAAATTATTATAAACTGTTATTTCAGAAATTTTAATTTTTATATTAGTTTAGTTTTTAGCATTGAAAGCTTTAACAATGAGTGCCGTTACATTAAAATTGTAGATGTATGGAATTTAATTATTTTTTTTGTAAACTAATCATAGTTCTCTGAAGATACTATTCTAAAGACATAGTAATTAAAGTTTTATCACATATCTCATTTTCAATAGTCTGTCTGCATTCTATTTATTTTTTTTCACATGTTTATACGGAAAAGTACAGTAGATAATGTAGGTTATTTGAAACATGACCAACATACAATTGAAATCAGATGGATTTTTGAAAAGAAAATAATTGAATGCTGTACATTCATAGTATAGACGTTGTTAGAATTTCGATTTACAGTTAATTAAGGCGTGAATTCATTGTTAGAATTTTCAATGCTGAGAACTAATCTAATATAAAAAATAAAATGTTTGAAATAGCAGTTCTCTACAAGAAAACCTATTTCTGTTTATCTAAATATTTGAAATAACTTTTTTTTTATCAGATGAAACAAACGATTGACTTTATTGTTACAATATTCAAAGATAATATTTTCCTTACTTCATTAGAGACGTGCACGGTAAACTATTTTTCATAGTATTAGCGTGTCCTACTCTGCAAGGTAGGGTTATAATGAATAACTCTATTCTTCCATTAGTATTTTTTTATTTTGCTTTAGTTTATGCGATGAATCAAGTTGTCGGATGGGATTATTTTCTAAAAATACCTATTTAAAGTAATTAGCTAAATAAAAATAAATGTTTTTGTAGATTATTAAAAGAGAAATCTTTTTCTAAAAAAAATTTTTCCACATAGATCAAACAAAATGTTTGAGATGTTTTAAAAATATGTCGAAGGTCATGTTTTACAATTAGCTATTACTTATGTACTGCAATCATAATGATTGATATTGTAAATATCATTTATCTATGACTGTCCATCAGTTCAGTCTTGTAACTTATACATTAAATAATAAATATCTTACCTTTCTCAATCGTATCATTCAATTATTGTCGAAATAAATATCTAAAATGTACTAATATTTTGATGTTTTTTATTTAACTAGATTCATCAAATAAATTAATTATATTTTTCATATTTATTTAATAAAAAATACCGAACTTAAAGGATTATAATCTTTCGTATATTGTTATATAGCGTTACAATTTGTTTACTTTAATAATAACACAAGTTAACCATAATCTATATAACACGATTGAAATAACGAAAGAAAAAAAGGAAATTCTTGGTTTTTTTTATTTTTATTGAGAATAAAGAATACATACAGAAGAAGAAGAAGAAGAAGAAGAAGAAAAGAGCACAAATATCAATGAATCAATCACTCGGTTTTTTTTCACAAAAAACGAAAAAAAAGGAGTCAATAAAAATCTTCAGGATAACCTTCAGGTATTTCACCTTCATATTCAAGCATATCTTCTATATCTAAATCATCATCTAAATCATCTTCATCATCAAGTAAATCATCATAAATAAGTCCATCATCAGGTAATGGTACATTTGGTGTATCAGTTGATGTCCAATCTGATATTAAACTATTTGAATGTGTTATTGTTACATCATATGTATTTGTATTTGTTGATGGTGATTGATTTTGTTGTTGTTCATAATGATCATTTGATGAATTTGATGATTGTTGAGTTTCTGTATCAATTAATGTTGTTGGTGATTCAATTGTAGCAGCAGCTGATGATAAAGGTGATTGATATTGTAGATTAGGTACTATTTTAATTTGTATTGAATGTTCATCAGTTGATGTTGAATGTATAATTTGTTCAAGTAATTTATTTGTATCCGATATTGATGGAATATTTACTGTTGTTGTTAATGCAGAAGAACAAGAAGGTATTACTTGATCTGTTGTTGTTGTTGTTGTTGTATTATTAATATTATTTGATGATGTTTTAAGTAAAAGTGCTGTTAATTCAGATGGAATAATAAGATCATCAGGTGGTGTTAAAGAATTTAATTCTTTTTTAAGATCATTTGTATGACGTATAAGTGATGCAACATGTTGACTTATTGATGAACTAATACGTTTTTCTGTTGATGATGTTTCTTGTAATTCACGTATCCATGATTCACATTGATCAATTACTTCATCTAGATAAATAATTAAAGAAAAAAAGAAAGAAAGAAAAAAAAACAATAACAACAATATTATATTTTTATTTACTTCGTTTTAAAAAGAAATGCCGCCGTATGATATCAGTAAAACATCCAGGAGGATTTCGTAATTGTTCAAGCATTGCCCATCGAACTGTTGCTTGTCGAATATTAGCATCATATTCAAGTGATTGAGCAGTACCAGTTGCTGTACCACGTGTACGTTCATAACCAGGTTCATTAAAATAAGGTTCAGGTACAAATATAAGAGATTGAATAGATACAAGAACCTTAAAAAAAAAGCAAGATAGTCAATAATGATATCTTTATAAAGAGTTACGGTCAAAATCAGGGGATTATTCTCCTAATCTTGGAAAACTGAACGATTTTCTTCGTTGTTTCTTTTTTTTTGTTCATCAATCCCCGTTCGGCAGTCTTAGTGACCTCGAGACTGCATTAAAAAAATAGAAAATATTTGACGGTTGATTTTAGAAAATTGAGGTTGTTTTTTTTGGTTAGTTAAGATGTATGATTTTATTTAGAGATTAATATGTAATTAAATCTAGTTATTCTAAGCATATTTTTCTTTCAATTTTTGATGAAGGTTAAATAATAGAATTTTATGTTCAAATTTAAATGAATTGAAAATATAATTTTTCATTCATGAATAAGTTCTATATCTCTTATGCGATAATTATCTCATTAAAATTTATTCCAATTTCATTTCGTATTGAAATGTAACTACATAAGTATTATTCTACATAATATTCTTCTCTTTACTAGATTATTTTCTATAACTCAGATTCTTTTGTATAAAAATGATTTGAAATTGAAAACACACTCATAATAGACAATATAGTAAATTTCTAAAGAACACTGACTTTTCCCATCCTTAATTATCTAGTAACATGATTGTTACCACTCAGACAGATGCTCTCGTAATATTGAAAGAGAAATACAGGTGAGGGCGAAGGGTAGCATCAAGATGAAAATTAATATGAGAATGAGAATGAAAACAAGATCTATATTTCATTCTCAATTATAGAAAAAAAAAATCATTTAAAACTACTTGTAAAAAGGTTGATGTTGCATTCCATTTTTCTTCTGGTCTACCATGCCATGTATTTAATATACTTAAACAAACTTTTCCATCATTATATAAATTTGGATTAAATCTAACTGTATGATTTCCTGTTGTTTCTAAATTAATTGATGGTGGTGTTGTTGGATATTCATTTGGAAAATAAACATCAAATATAAAACATCCATTTGAATATGGTGTACCATCAGGACCTGTTATTAATATTTTCATAATATCCATACGATTTTCATCTGAACGTACAAATATTGTTGAACTAAATGATAATGGTAATGATGTTGATATTGTTATTTGTTCTTGTGCTAAACGTTTTATTCTTTGCATTGAATTTATTGTTAATGCATCACGTACAATATCTTCATAATGATATTTAAGTTTTTTATTAAATAATATTTTATCATTTGTTTCATTTTCAATTGTTATTGGATATGTACTAAATTGTAATAATTTCATTGTTTGACAATAAAACTCATCTAATGTAATTAATTCATATTTATTATTAGTATTTATATTAAATTGTTGTTGTTGATTATAATTATTTACAATTTGTTTATCTTGTTTAATTTTATCATAAACTTGTTTTAATTCAATTGAAAATAAATTTAATTGTTCATCATCATCAATTTGTATCATTGATGTATATGTTTGTACACATTGTAAAAGATTATCAATTAAATATTCAATATTACTTGTTTGATAAATTAAATTTTTTAATTTTTCATTATTTAATAAACAATTAACTAAACGTAAACAATAACGATGTATATCACCTTGTTTTGATATATCTAATATTGAATCATTACGTAAATATGATTCAAGTACTGGTATAAGACATGATGTATTTATTATTTCAATTAAATTATCATCAAGTAGTTCTTCAGATAATTTATTTGAAAATATTGAATAAAATATATCAAATAAATAAATAACATGTTCTTCATGTAATTTTTGTATTTGTATTATTTCATCTGGTTTCCATTGTGAATGCGTTGAACCTGTACCAAAACCTGTACCTTTAGCCCAAAAACTTGAATTTGTATTATTATTATTATTATTATTACTACTATTATTATTATTAATTGTATTTAATTGTTGTATTGTTGTTGATTCAATTTGTTCAATATCATCTTCATAATATTCATCATCATTATCATCAATTATTGTTGGATTATTTATTGTTGTTGGAACAGATAATGATGTTGATATTGAATCTTTTTGTTTACGATGTGGATGACGTGTTATTGATGATAAACATGAAAGTAATAAAAGTAAAATACTTGAATGTAAAATTTCATCTAATAAATCATTTGATGAATCTTTAAGTAAAATTGATAATGTTTCAAATGGTAATTTTGATAATTGACGCATATCAAAATTTTCTTGATGTTGTGTTTGATCTTGATATTCATTTATACTTGAGTCTTTTTGTCCAAGCATTAAACGTATTATATTACATGCAAGTGAACGATTTTTTAACATAGCACGTGCATAATTTGGTAAACGAAGAAATATTGAAAATGTTATAAATACATAATATGGCATTGTCATATTATTCGAAGAATTTGTTGATGATGATGATGATGTTGAAACTAATGATGAAAAATCAAAGAAATTTATTTTATCGAATATATTTGTATTTGATGATGATGATAAACATTCATCATAAGATTGTATTGATGGATAATTTCGAGCAAAATGTTGTGCAAGAATTTTAAGACCATTAGCATGAACAAATGTATCAAGTAATGTTGGATAATCTTTATTTGCAACTATTGATTTATGTGTAATTAATTCATGTTCCTAAAAATAGATTAAATGATTTAATTGAATCTTTGTTTTTCTCCAAACATATTCCTCATCTCTTCTAAAGTGATGAAAAAAAGTTTAGAAACAACGATTTTTTTTAGTTTTTTTTTTCATAATTTTAAGCACATAGTTTCAATCCAAATAGTGATTTTAATAGTCAATGGAGTTTTCTATCCAATACACTCTATAGCAAGATTTCACAGATGAACAATGATGGCAAGGTTCCCAAAAAAACTGAACATAGTACTTTTCAGATTCTGGAAGGCTTTGCCAGAACTATTTTTTAAACGATACCATCTTAAAGAGCACAAAATTCTGAGTAAAATGAGGGGTCGTCGAGTTTTCTATGAACTTCTCATAAAAAGTTACAAGCATCACAAAAATCATGAGAAAACGAAATTCTTTTAAAAGTCGACTAAAAACGCCTTTTTCATGAATTTTGTGATACTTGTAACTTTTTATAAGAAGTTCATAGAAAACTCGGCGATCCCTCATTTTACTCAGGATTTTGTGCTCTCTAAGATGGCACAATTCAAAAATAGCTCTAGCAAAGCCTTCTAGAACTTGAATAAATACCATGTTCGGTTTTTTAGGAGCCTTGCCATCATCGTTCATCTGTGAAATCTTGCTATAGAGTGTATTGGATAGAAAACTCCATTGACTATTAAAATCACTATTTGGATTGAAGCTACGTGCTTAACATTATAAAAAAAAACGAAAAAAATCGTTGTTTCTAAACTTTTTTCCATCACTTTAGTTTCATAGTCATATTTTTTCTTAATTAGTTAAATATCCAAAAAAAAAAAATTTTTTTCTCTATCGACTTACTTGACCATCGTTAATTAAAATATGATTATCAAAAGTAAATTCAATAACATCAACTTCATAAGTATTTAATAATCGACAATCAAATGATAATAATAAATCACTTAATCGTGTAGTTTTTGGTAAAATACATTGTCGTTTTTGTCCATTAATATGTAAAATAAAATGTACATTTTCTACAGGTGATATTAATGGAGGTTTTTTTGAAATTGATGATTCATTTGTTGTTGTTGTTGATTTTGATGATGATGATGATAATAATTTTTGATGTTTAGTTAAATTTGTTAATGAACTAATTGATTTTGTTGTTAATTTACTTTGTATTGTTGATCTTAATGAAACTAATTCAGCTCGTGGTATTTTTCTTCTATGATTATTATTTATTGGTTCACTTGATGCTTTTATTAAATAACTTTTATTTTTAATATAATTTGTTGCTGTCCATATATTAGCTTGTAAATAATTAAAACCAAATAATTTTTCAATTAATTGTCCAATATTCATTGATATTGAACAATCTTGAATTAATTTATGATAAAGTGAATTTCTTTGAAATAATGTATAATATTCACGTATATTTATTGGATAATCACGTGTATTTATTAAACATTGTATATATTCATGTTTAAGTACAACTTCACTTAATATATATTGTAAATAACCTGTTAATGGACGATCTTGTTCAAGACGTTGTTCAGTTAAATAAGCTAAATATGTTGATATTAATGACATATTTATTTGATTTGTTGGACATTGTATAGATAAATTTCTTAATAATGTTATTAATTGTGTTAATAAAATTGATGGTGATTGTATAAATGATGATATATTTGGATTATTAAATATATCAAGTAAATATTTCCATATATTTGATGCAATTATTGTTTTTGAAAACCATATTTGTACATTTGAATATTTACTTATTTTTATTAAATAATCAAGTCCATGATAAATTAATAAATAATTTGATGTTTTATTTATTATATATTGTATTTGTTGATTTAATTCTTCAATTGATTTTAAAAAATATTCATTAATTAATATTTCATTAAGAAATTCAACACTTAATGAACATATTTTTAATTGTTTAAAATATTCAATAAATGTATCATTTTTATTATTAATATAATTCATAACTAATAATGGTTTATGATGTCCTATTGATGGTAATAACCATGAATAATTTTTTAATAAATATTCTAATAAATTTTCATCAAGTTTTATATTATCTTCTTTTATTTTCCAAAAAATATTATTAATTATTTGTTTTATTTGATCATTAATTAATTCATTATTTATATTATTAATTAAAGAATGAATATTTTTTTCATTAAAATTTAATTCAGATAAAATATTAAAATGATTATATGTAATTAAATAATTAATAAATAATTCAAATTGTTTATCTGTACAATGATTACCAATAAAAATAAATATTTCATTAAAAAGAAAATTATTTATATAAAAAAATTTTTCTTTAAGTATAAAAAGAAATTTTTCAAATAAATTATCATTTAATATTAATGAATTTTTTAAACATAAATGTATTAATTGTAAATAATGATTAAATGAACGATATTTATCTGATAATAACATTGATATTTGTTGACTATTATCAATTGTATTTATATTTGTTGTTGATGATGATTTTATTGATGAATACATTAATTTAATATTATCATCATCATTTAATGTTGTTATTATTGATGTATTAGAATTTTTATTATGTAATATTTGTTTACCATAAACTGTTGATATTAATGTTTGATATGGATGACTTGTTTGTTCAATAATCATTTGTTGATCATATGCATAATAACCATATATTGATATTTGTTGTAAACCAATTGTATCATGATCAATTGGTTTATAAAAATGTATACGTAAATGTTTAACAATATCAATTTGTTTTGTTATTGATAAATTAATTATTTGTTGTCCTTGTGTATTTAATAAATAAGAACATGGTATAAAATAATAACCATCAGATGATATTTCACATGTTATTGATGATGGATATTGTGTTAAATTTGTATTTAATTGTTCCATTATAGTATAATGATTAATTGATAATTGTGTAAATGGTATTATTTGTATAGATTTTAATATAATTGAATATGGAAATTGTAATGTTAATGTACAACGTTGTTCATTTGGTAAATATGTATATGACCATGGTGGTGAACGTAAACGACGTGATGATGATGTTATTGTTGTTGTTTGAAGATTATTATTTGATTGTAATAAAATTTCTGGTGATGTTGCATTTGGATTTGAACATATTATTTGACATTGTGATGATAAATTTATTGAACCAATATCCATTGTATTATTTAATGATTGTCTTTGATCATAAATACGTTGTATTGATGGTATTTGTGTTTGATTTGTTAAATAATTTGAATATAGAATTAAATTATTAACTAATAAATCAAGTAATTTATATTGATTTAATGCTTGAAATAATATTTTTGTATTATGTATTGAATAAATAATAAATAATAATAATGGTGATGATAATAATGGATTTGTTGTTAAATAATGACATAATATTGGTAAAAGATAATTTGGTTGTGATATAAATGTTGTTAAACAATAATAAATACTATCACCAACAGATATTAAATCATTTAAATTTAAATGTATTGTTGTATGTATAAATGATGAATATTGATTTGTTGATGTTATTGATGCAGCAAGAAATTTTGTTGATGAATTTAATGATATTGATGGTGATGAATCAAGTGATGAATGACATATTGAAAGTATTGAAAGAAGTTTTTCAATATAAATTGTTTCAAGTATATCATCACTATGTTCATCTTCAATTTCATTTAATTTTATATTTATTTCTTCATTTTTAAAACGTTTACGTTGTTGATCAATTGTTTGATTTGTATTTTCCATTAATTTTGTTATTAATAATATCATTTGTCTTACACATGTATCATGTAAATTACATTGACGTCGTATTGATGATGATGATGATTTTGAATTTGTTGTTGTTGTTGTTGTTGTAACATCATTATTATTTGTTGTTGATGATGATTGATTATTTTGTAGAGAAAGTTTATTAACTGTATTCATTAATTGCCATTTATTTACAGATGATGATGGAGGAATTAATGAACTTGTTGAAGATGATGATGATGATGAAGATGATGATGTTGATGTTTGACGAGGATGAATACGATCATAATTAAGAAAACATATTAATGGATGTATATCATTTTGAGTAAATGATAATGGTGAATATGAATAACAAAATGACCAAACAAAATCAATTATATTACGACAAACTTTTAAACGTATTGATGATGTTGCTTGAGAAAAATTTTGTTTAAAAAGATAAGTTAAAAATTTTAAATGGCAATTTAATGGACCATGAAAACCATTACTTATCAAACGATCAAGAATAGATAGAAGAGTATTAAGATAATGACTATTGACATTAGTTGACGACGATGGTGATGATGATGATGATGATGATGATGGAATATCTTGAGATTGATTTGATTCATCTTGAGAGAAAAAAAAATATTTTTTTAAAGTTATTTATTATTCAATTAGAAAACAGAAACATTCATCATGCTTCAAAAACCTATTGTAATGATAGAAAAGAAAAGCTTGCGCACCATCATCACGATGAACACTCCTGATAGAATTGATAACTTTTTTGCTATTTTGTCAAATACATACAGAGAATCGAAACCAAAACTATGATCGGTATCGATCATGGTCTTGAATCGGCGCCGGTCATAGTTCTGGTTTCAGTCCTGTCTTGATTCGGTGCCGATCACAGTCTCACATTAAAGAGATTATTCTGTGAAAATACTATCTTTAATTAGTTCTAAGTTCTTACTTCTATAAATAAAAGAAAAATATCTATTATTGAATCATACCTGATGTTGCTACTCTTTTACTTAATTTAATATTTTCCATAATATTTATATTTTCATCATCACACATAAATAATCTTTCAAAATAATTAATAACAATATCAACTGTACTTTCATCAATCATATCTTGTGTTGTTTGAATAAATTTTAACCATATTTTAGCAAATAAACTATTATCAATATTACCTTGAAACCACATTTGTTTCATTTGTTTAGCTAAATCAATATTTGTACTTGTATAATATAATAATGAAAATAAATGATGCCATAAACGTATTGTTATTAATGATGATTGTAAGAAAAATTTTAATAATTTATCTAATGTATCAATTGACATAATAAATAATGGTTTTAAATTAATATTTATTGGTGGTTGATTATTATTATTATTATTATTATTAATTGTTTCTGTTTGTATATATATTTGTTTATGATTAATATTTTTTGAATAATTTGTTAATGATATAATTAAATATGATGATAATAAATGTTCAATTTTATTATATAAATCATATGACATAAAATGATTTTGTTCAATAAAATAACATAACATATTTTGATAAATTTCATTTAATAAATCAATTGTTGTATATGTAAAATTTCGTTTTATTTCATATTGTTGATTTAAATCATTTGTTTTTATATTTAAATTATAATCAATTGTATATTGATTTAATTGATAGAAATTTTTATTTAATAATGTTTGAATTTTATATGATTGATTTATTGTAAATAAATCAAATATAAATTGTATATTACCATCAAGACGATTATCAATTGAAAATGGTATTATATCATAATTTAAATTATTTATTATTGATGTTTGTTGTTGTTGTTGTTGTTGTTGTTGTTGCTGTTGATATTGATGTTGTTGTTGATATGATGATGATTGACTTAAAAGTATTAAAAAATCTTCTGTTGTTGGATATAATATATCTTGTTCAGATGTTTTATTATTTTGAAATTGTACAAAAATTTGTTGTGTATTATTATTAATAGTTTTTTTTTTTTGATTTTTTAAATGCTGGAAAATGTTTTTTTTTATGTTCATCATTAAATTCTTTATCATCATCAATATCAATATTATCATCATTATTATTATTATTACTATTATTATTATTATTATTATTATTATTATTATCATCATTTATTTGCATTTCATTTGGTAAATATATTTCATTATCAATAAAATCAATTAAAAAATAATTAAATGCATATTTTAACCAAATTTGTTCAGTATTTAAAATTAATTTAATTAAATTATCTTTATTTATATATTCATTTAATAATAAAAATGGTTTACATGAACGACTTATATCTGATAATGATTTACATATTAATATAAATAATTCATTTGATAAATTTTTATTTTCAATTAATATATTAATAAGATATTTTGAAACTTGTAAAACTAATGAATAATAACAATAATAATCAATTGAATTTGTTGGTGATATAATTATTGTTGATGTTTGTATTTGTTGTTGTGTTGTTATTGATGTTGATGTTGATGTTGATGATGATAATTTTGATTTTTTTAATAATGTTTCTTTACGTAATTTTCGACGATAATTATTTGCTGAATTTGTTATACGTGGACTTTGTATTATAGATGATGTATGTAAAAATTGCCAATGTTTATTAATTAATTGTGAAAAATTTGTTTTTTTATTTGTTTGTTCATATGAATATGGAAATAAATTTTTTTCTGATAAACGATATATAAATAATAATAACCATTCAATTGATTGATAATTATTATTTGTATTTAATAATAAATTATATATATTATTTATATATTCAATAGCTAATAAACGATTATAATAAATTGTTGTTTCATTTGGAGAATTTATTGTTAATAATGTTTGTTCACATAAATCAACAAGATTTATAAATAATGATTGTTGTTGATCAATTGTTAATATATCATTTGAAAGAAAATAACGTTGAAAACATTCTTTAACAAATTCAGGCCACCATGAATGATATGAACATAATTGTAATAAACGTTTTGGCATATCAATTATTTGTACATGACGTATAGCAAATGTATCGAAAATTTGTAGAGCATCATTTAAAGAAATAAATGAAGAAGATGAAGACAAACTAAAAAAAA